AGAGGTCCACAAAGAGAAAGGTTTGGGATTAGAAAGTACTTTCAACCAGAATGGGTTCCCTGCCAGTCCGTGGTCTTTCTCCCCCCTTCTCTCCATGCCCACACTGACTAATTAACGTGTGGCTTTCCCTCCCTCTTTCTTGCGCATTTCCCTCCCATATCAAGACCTTCAGACCGAGGGCAATGTGGATAATTTCCCAGCTCTCCAGCTGGGCAGTTCACCAAGAACAAACCCAGACATCAAGGCCAGACCAAAAAAATCTTCTTGTTTTAGACAGAAGACTCCTACATCTGGGGGATTTAATGCACCCACTGTCCGCTCAGTGCATTTCCTGTGTCCGGAGCTTCTCTGCCTGCCGGCTCTGGTCTCATAAGTTTCCACACCCTGCTGCCAACTTATAATAACAGGGCAGCAGGCAGCAGGGTGGGAACGGCAGAGTCTACTCCATACGTGGGCGCATGCTTTGCAAACTGAAACAAAGCTTGGAAGGTCTCATTGCAGACCTTTCAGCCTTGACAGTGGTTGTGCCCAGACCACCAGGAGCCTGGAATTAAATACCCTTGGATCCAGTTCTCCACCATTAATGTTATCAACTTCATCAAGTACTTCCTCTTTGAATGGTGTCTGCAGAGAAATAAATAAATCAAGCTCCTCCAGGTCCTGTTCCTGCCTGGACCCTGAGTCAAAAGTAAAATCTGAGTTGGATTATCCAGAGCACTGTCTCTCTCCCTCCTTCATTGTTCCCGAAGATCTGGGCAGGAACGGAGAGTGAAATCTCTCCAGGACATTACATCAGTTCCTCTTTTACCCTTGGCATGGAAATTCTTCCTCTCAGAGTCCACCCAGACTTCCTAGGGCTTGCCCCAAGTGCACACCCATGCACTGAGCCTTGAAGCCCAAGACATCAAAGAGAGCCTGCAGGTGACCAGACTCCTGGCCAACGCCTGTGTCTGTTTTGAAATTTGTAAGACAGGAAATGGATTCAGGATATAGAATTTTTCAGTACATGGTCTTCATCATCCTTAAGTATTTTTAAACCTTAATACGCTTTTAAGTAAAGGGAAATATTCTGTATATGGCATTTAGAAGAAAATGCACAAAACTTGAAAACACAACCATCTTAAGTAGTTGCTTATCATGGTAATGTTCTGTGACAGAGAAGAGATAAATTCATTTTTGGGGACAGCAGAGTCAAGGTCCGTATTAGCTGTGAAAAGAAAACTTGTCTTATCACCCAAAAGATGGTAGGTCATTTCTATCATGCTAATCATCTAAGCCATTAAAATTAACTACGTGGGCCTAATCAGTTAAGTACCCTGTAAGCATTTATTCGCATTTGGGTTAAAGTGAAGAATTTAGTACTTGTTATCCCAACCTGTATTCTTGCAAGGTTGACTAAGTACTTTAAAAAAAAAAAAAAGAAAAAGAAACACTTTTTATAGTGGAAAATATCAAACTTAGACAAAACTAGAGAGAATTATTTAATGAGCCACAATGTACCCATCACCAGCTTCAATGATCAACTCATGACCAATCTTGCTTCCTCTGTGACTCACCTACTCTCTGCTTCACCATCCCAAATTAATTTAAAGCAAATTCCAGATACATAGTTTCATCTGTAAATAGTACAGGTCTGAAAAGAGAAGGACCCTTTATAAAATCTTAATCACAAGGCCATCACATCACCTGAAAACTGACAGTTCTTCAATATCATCAAATGTCTTATTAATGTTTACATTTTTTCCAACTACCTCGTATGTGTTTTTACAGTTTCCTTAATCAGAATCCAAACAAGGGTCTGTACATTGCAGATGTTTGATGTGTCTCTTAAGTCCCTTTCAGTGTATGGGTCTCCATTTATATCTTTCTTGTGTACATGCTTGTACTCTCTCTGGGTGTTTAAAAAAGAAGTTAGCCATAATTAGTATAACTTTATCTGTGTACATGGTGTATCTTTTTTTCTCCTCTGGTTACTTTCAGGATTTTCTCTTTATCTTTGGTTTTCAGCAGTTTGACTATGAAATGCCCGGATGTAGCTTTTGTATTTATCCTGCTTTGTATTTGCTGAGCATCTTGGATCTATAAGTTTCCTGTTGTTGTTACCAAATTGGAGGACCATTTGGTCATTATTCCGGTTTGGGTTTTTTTTTTGGCGGGGTGGGGGTTGGTCCCATCCTTTCTGTTCTCTTCTTCTTGGATTCCAATTACATGTCCATTAGACCATTTAATATTGTTCCACAGGTCATTGTTTATTTGTTTCTGATTTTCATTGATGTGTCTTCAAATTTACTAACCTTCCTTCTGTCATCTCCAATCTGCTGTTAAGTACATCCAGTCCAGTCTTTCAGATATTGTGTTTTTCAGTCCTAGAATCTTCTTCTTAAGTTTCCATTTCCCTTCTGACAGTCTCCATCTGTTATATCTCATTATGACCATCGTTTCCTTCAAGTGCTTACACTTATTTCTAATAGCTACTTTGAGGTTCTTTTTTGCTAATACCAACATCTAGATGATCTCAGAGTCTGTTTCTGTTGACTGCCTTTCCTCTTGATTATGGGTCACATTTTTCTGTTTTTTTTCCACATGTTCCGAAAATCCTTATTGAATACTGGACATTATAGATGATACATTGTAGAGACTCTAGATTATGTTATATTCCTCTGAAGAATGTTGATTTTTGCTCTAGCAGGTAAACGACTAACCAGTCACTTTGAGTTTGCAGAGGCTTGGTCTTAACATTTGGTTAGGGCAGATCTCTTTCAGTTTTGCCTGTAGCCCTGAGGCAAATCCCTTTGTCCTGGAGCTAGTCTTTACTCCTAAGGTGTGGCTGTTCTGGGGTAATAAACAGCCTGAGGTGTTTACAGAGCCTTTATTGCTAGGGCTCAAATTCTGAATTCTGTCTCCAACCCAGTGGCCAGTAGCTGACATTCCTGCTCTTATCTTTCAGCCATACAGCTGTTGTTTTCACTGAGTTCCTTAGAGGTCCCCCTGCACATGCACCGTTCAGGAGCACGTATTAGGGATGTGAGGGAAGTTTATGTGCCAATTTAGTGGATTCCCCCTGCGGCTCTCCCCTTTATAGGATTTGCTTTCTCGATTTTTTGCCATTCTGGAGCCCCATACTCTGTTCCCTGACAGATTATACAACTTGTGGTTCATTTCTAGCTGCCCCCTGCTACAGGGACTGGGGAAGACCCTCAGGGCTATATAAATTTGGATCTCACTTGTGCAGTTCTCTTCTTTCAAGAGTAAAATGCCCTTCGGTTTTCTCCAGCACCTTCAAATAACTTTTGTAAATGTATTATATCCAGATTCCATCATTTCTGTATGTAGGAAGGTTAGTTTGATACAAGCCTGGAAACTGGAATCCCCTTCTCCTTTATCATAGAAAGGTGGTAGCATACCAAAATACGTCACCTGGCTTTGCATACCTACTCATAGAACCTGGAGACCAGTCCTTAGCAGAATATTAAGGCACTCCTCATTCCGTTTTATACCTGCCTGATCCTCCATTGTTTAGAGATATAGTATCATTTATTAAGCCAGTCTCCCATCGATAGCTATTCCAACAAGTAAGCACTTTCAAATTCACGGCAGCAGGTTACACAGTAGTTACAAAATAAACCCTTTGCCTTCAAGCAGATGCTCTTTTAGTGATCGTGAACAACATTTCTTTTGTTCGCTGTCTCATATAACCGAGATCTAGAGGAATCCTCATTTTTCTATTAATCCTATGTAAAACTTTGAGACACTACCAGCTCGGTCTCTGTTTACTAACCCTGTCAGATTCCTAGATCCCCTTTATATGTTCTTCATGTAGATACTGTCATAAGGGACAAAGGGAGGTATCTTTGACTTGCTTTACTTAGAATCATGGACAAATCTTTGACCATACAAAAACCTGAAAGCATGTGCATCGTTTTGGTGAGACAGCTCTGGGAGCAGATGTGGCCAGAGAAACCTCATTAAGATGAGTGGGAGGCACTGTAGAAAGCTCCATTTTTGCAGGCAGATTTTCGTCCTTCCTCCCCCTAAGCAGGGACTCCTAAAGCCACGTGTGTGCCGGTCCCCCCGCATCCCAGCCCACAGGACTGCTTCTGTTGCTGAGCTGTGTACACTTCCAGTGTTGTCCGTGCTCAGATATCACCAGCTTGAAAGTTCAAGTGGGAGGGGGTAGAGGCATTGTTGGAGGTGTCTGTCCCTCCTTTTCCTTACTTGCCGCTGCCTGTCTCTGAGCATTTGTAGGGTCTGTACGCTTTAGGAAACAAAGTCATCCTAAGTCTTCTTTCAAGTACAGGATTGCCAGTCTGTAAATTGGGCCCACTGTCCATGCTTAAAGCAGGTTTTACTGTCCCTTTTCCCCTTGGTTTCTGTGTATAGCAAAGTGGCAGATATCGTAATGGGTACCTAGATTCTTCTCTTACTGGAGTCTGGGTCTCGTTCCCTCACCGGCTGTGTGTCTTTGAATCAGTTGCTTAACTTCTTTATGCCTCCATTTTATCACCTGTAAAGTAGGAGCACTGGTATTAGCATCTCCTACTGAGGAGTTTTGTACATTTTAAACAACATAATCCAGTACCAAGGATATAGTAGCTACTTTAGCAAGAGTAATAACAGTATCATTAACACCAATAACAATGTCCCAGAAGTAGAGAATATATAAATTTAGTTATGAAGATGTAAGTCAGTGAAAGCATCTGGAAAGAAACTCTTAAGGACCCCAAAAGCCACGTCGAAGAGCCAAGTAACCAAAAGCTAAAGAACATGGGTTTGGCTTCCTTGTGTTTATAAGCCACTAGTAAGTGATTAATGGAATGCTTGTAGACATTCTTAGCCTGTCTAGTGTAGGAAAAGAATTTCAAGTATGCGCACTTCAATTGTTTTTTTAAGCAGTGGAAAAGACACTCCGTCTCGAGGCACGGACAGTCTGCCCGGCACACGCCCAGGCTCCACTCACTGTTTACTACCTTTAGAACCACAGTGGGGTCCCTCTCCTGACAATTCACTGGGGTCAGTGATTGTCTCTCCCTCTGCTCCACAGATAATTGTGTCCAGAGGACCCCAAGGCCACCAGTGGAGAACGTGCACCACAACCCCCCCACCATTGAACTGTTGCACCGGTCTAGATCACCTGTCACAGCCAATCACCGGCCTTCTCCCGACCCCGAGCAGCAGCCCCTCCGGTCCCCCCTGGACAACATGATCCGCCGCCTCTCCCCGGCCGAGAGGGCCCAGGGGCCGAGGCTCCACCAGGAGAACAACCACCAGGAGTCCTACCCCCTGTCAGTGTCTCCCATGGAGAATAACCACTGCCCTCCGTCCTCCGAGCCCCACCAGAAGCCATCGAGCCCCCGGCAGGAGAGCACCCGCGTGATCCAGCTGATGCCCAGTCCCATCATGCACCCTTTGATCCTGAACCCCCGGCACTCCGTGGATTTCAAACAGTCCAGGCTCTCCGAGGACGGGCTGCATAGGGAAGGGAAGCCCATCAACCTCTCCCATCGGGAAGACCTGGCGTACATGAACCACATCATGGTGTCTGTCTCCCCACCCGAGGAGCACGCCATGCCCATTGGGAGAATAGCAGGTAGGTGAGCGCACCCCTCCACCACCACTCCAGCCTCTGGGGAGACCTGACAAAGCCCCGCTCTCTCCCCAGCCTTGCAGCGAGCCTCACACCGTTCCCAATTAGGCGCCCTCAAAGGCTCTGTGAGGGCAAGTGGAGGCTTCTGCCTGAATGAAGTGAAATCCCTAATGGGCTAGTTAATGAGCCGCTGGGATGGAGTAGTTAATGAGCCTCAGAAATGTTAAGAAACAAATGTCCTACGTCCAGTTTACAAGGAGAGTCACATCAGAATCATGGCTAAGCGAACACATTTAAAATAAAAGGTTTATGAGCATGCTAATGGCCCTGTCTTGAAGTTTCCAGCAGCTAATTAATGACCAGACACAGCATAAAGAACCTTTGTCTCCGATTCAGACCTGCAATTCCATCCTATGGGCAGTAACTCAATGTAGCCTTCACCTTGGGAGAAGGTAGGAGAGAAAAACACGGTTATGGTGTTGTAGGCAGGTATTGCTGGGTCGTTTGGACGAAGGAAACCACTCCCAAATTCTTTTACTTTTATGATGACAAGCCCAAATTTGCTTCCCTAAGACAAGAAACCAGTGGAAACCAGGGGAAAAAATCCACACGTTGTATTTGTGCTAGTCTGCCCATAATTTACATGAAGTCATTCTCCAGACACTTAACCCTCCAGCCACGTGGCAAGGACAGCTCTTTTCCTAGAGCATCTCTCCATTCCTGAGACATTGAGCACCCACTATGCACAGATAAATGCATTAGGAAGCAGGGGGACACAGAGCTGCTTTAACACAATTATTTCCTCGAGGAATTTAAAATTCCCTGGGAGAGACAGATGTGAAAACCACCCACTAAGATATAAGGCAGAATGAAGTCAGTCCTGTGTCCCATTCATCCAGCGCACGTGCACTTACTGAGCACTGACTGTGTACTAGGATAATTCAATGCTGTGGGAGCAAAGCAGAGAGAAGGTGCATTTTGTCAGGAGGAATGGAGGAAGGCTTTACAGGGAGGTGGCTCGGTGCTGAAGGTGATTGTGTGTTCAGTAGTGGGAGGGAGGCATGGAGGCAGAAGTCAGACCTGGTCGGGGCAAGGCGAGAAATGCCCCCTTCCTCCGTGAGCGGAGACCCCAGGACAGATCTCCCGCTGAGCCCCAGGATGGAGCAGTGCTCCTGACAGCATGACGGCACCGAGTCCTACAGGCTACACTAACAGCCTCTGCCTTGACTCATTGTCCCTTTTTTGTTTAAATTATTTGTTCCTAAATGTTTCTCTGGCTTCAAGTGTACCGCCAATGTTGCCTCGGTTTTCGTGTTACAAGTCATTTACGTGGGGTGTTGAATCAAGAAAATGAAATGCCAAAGAAATACGACTTTTATGTTTGAAAAACTATGAAACACGAAATGACCTGTGTCCGGGATTTGACTCAAAGTGATCCCACGGCGCCGGGGGTGGGGCATGGGTGGGGTGTACATAAAAGAAGACTAGCTGTGAGCTAATGGCTATATGGCTGGGTGATGGGTACACAGGGATTCACATTATTTTGTTCTCCACCTTTACATATGTGTATATGTATGTATGTATGGTTTTTTTTAATCTAAAAAAAAGAAAAGAAAAAAAAACGGAATTTATAAAGAGACGGAGACCTTAGGCAAAACATGTGAATTTTCCCAGATGATTAGAGAAAGAAGATGGGGTCAGGATATTACTGTGAAGAATAGAATGACCTGACTTGTGCTTCCCAGGCCAGACCTTTCCTCTCTATACATGCCCTTCTTGTCTTGTTTCTTGCATGGTCTGTACAGCAGTGCTGGACATTTTGCAGATACTGTCTACTTGTTTATAATTCTAAGGACAGCTCTTAGGGGCAGCTTATTATTGCTATATGCATTTTATGTGGAAGGTCATTTGAACCGGGGAAGTCACGGAGGAAACAGAGCCCCAGAGAAGCAAAGTCAGATAGGGGTTGGGTGATGGGGTCAACGGGACAGTCACTGCTGTGCCATTGGCTGCTGCTGGCAGGGCTGCCCTCGTGGGACCTGGCTTCCCCAGCTGTATCTGTCCCGGCCACCTCCTCTGTCACGCCATCTTATCACAGACTTCCTAGGACTCTAAGATAAGCCCATAGATCGAAAAGGTTACATTATTTAGACTTACGGAGTTATTTCTCCCTTGTTTAGTAGGTTTATAAAGGTTAAAATATTAGTCTCTTAAAAATTGTGCTACTGTTTTTTTTTAATCTTACTTCTGAACATCAGAATTGTTGGGTGATGGATGTAGCCTCATCAGTAAGATGCTCTATGGACTGTCATAACCAACCCAGTGATGAACCTTGGTACCCACGGATGCCTTGTCTCTCTCAAGAACACACAGAAGAGGGGAATGTAGGTTTTTCTTTAGGACCCTAGGAAGTCAGAATATTCATCTAGAATAGCCCTAGGGCCCAGATCCTTTGGGGAGTGCCTTAACTCCTCCAGGATGAGAGAATCCCCTCAAATTATTCATCATTAATGCTCTAATGACACACTCAAAAGTTGAAAAATCTCCAGATGTAAGTATTAACTAATTTAACCAAAGCCAGCATCGGTGAATTTATCTGAAAGTCACTGTTTTTCTCAAGGGTGAAAGGAAAGGAGTAGCAAGTCTGGAGTCTAACACTTAGTCTTGATTCTAACCCTCCAAAGAGAACTTACCACAACTCCAGGCTCCTTTGTTTCTCTTGGGATATCCCTGTCCCCTCACTCCTACCCTTCTAAGTGTCTTTTTGGACTACTCAGATCCTTATAAGATTCTATTTAGTAGGGGTCGAGCCCATTGGGTAATTCCTATGGACAATGTAAAGTTCTGGCATTACTGAACAGCCCTAAAAAGGCTTCATATCTGCAAAGCAGATGTGAAATGAGCAAACTTAGTTCCTTAAGCTTGTTCGGTGAGCATAGTCCAGAAAGAAATGAACATGCCGCTGAATACCAGAGCCGGAGGATATGGAGAGGAACACGGCTTATGAATGCGGATCAAAAACTTAACGCCAAATTCTTGTCCATTGAGATGTCGTTTGCTCAAGTACTTTAGGATTTATATATTTGGGCACCTTCTGTGTTTGAGGCACTGGACTACATTCATGGGGGCGGGGTGGGGGAGGGTTCCAGGAGGTCTAAGATAGAATCTTTATCTTGAAAAAGCTGAATGCAGTGTGTGGTGTCTTTGAAGGACTCCTGTTAAGTGCTGTGGGGGTGTTAGGGAAGGCTCCGTGGAGGGGCTGCCTTTGAGCTGGGCTTACAAATGCTTAGAATATGAACAATGAAGATTAAAGGAAAAACGGTCATTCCAGATGGAGAAAACTCCAAAGCAAGATAAGGCCCAGGATATTTTTTCTATTTCAGGTAGAAATGTAAATCTTGTGAATCCAAGCCCATTAAAAATCTCTCATATTTCTTCCATTCTTTTTTTTTTTTTTTTCTCTTTTTAACATCTCAGGATTGGGATGTAGCATACAATTTAGAGGTGACATGCAAAGTTATGATAGTTTACTTAGGTATTGGCCTTGTAGAAAAATTAAGATAATCAATAAAAGAAATTTAGGAGGTAATAGGCAGCTTAAATACAAACCACAGATTAGATCTATTTAAATATAACATGTAGCTTATTTTTAAAGGTATCCCTTATTTTTCAAAGGATAAGAAGGACTGTTGTTGAGATTACTAAGTTAGAATAGCCAGAGTTTATGGGAGAGCATTTAACATGGAACACAGTGAGACAAGACCCCTGGGTTCAAACTTTTTATTGGATAGCCAATGGTGTATGTAACAGTGAACAAATTGCTTCTTTCTGGGCTTGTTTTCTATTTGTTATGCTCATGAAGCGATTGTTTGGGGGGGGTGGTAGGAGGTAGGGGGTCCAGGCAGCATCTGTGAACCTTCTAGCACTTTTCTCAGCCCACAGAAGTTTTACTGGCCTGTGCCTTGCCCATGTATTTCATATCCAAAGAGTCTGTTAGCAGCACGCACCGTAAGATGATGAGACTTAGCGCTGGTGATGCCGTGAGTCACGTTTTCGGTATATATTAACATTCATTCTTAGAACTCGGTGATTTCAAACCTGGAAGGGGCTTGTACAGATGCAGAAAGGGAGATTCAGGCACATCCAGAGTCCAGCCTTGAGCCTCATCCAGTGTTCTTTCCAAGACACGTGTTGCCTTCTGACCTGGGCCTCCAGAGCTGGGATTGGGAACTCTGACCTGTGGGCCAAATCAGCCACCGCCTGTTTTTGTAAATCAAGTTTTATTGGCACACAGCCATGCCCAATCACTTAGTGTCCACAGCAGAGTGGAGCAAGTTGCAAGAGAGATGACATGGCCGGCAGAGCCTAAAATATTTGCAGACAGCCTGACAGGAAGCATTTGCTGCCCCCTATTCTACGGCATTGTTGACTCGTATGTAGCGTGTGCTTGAGGTCGTAGGCATGATGGAGGATGCAGAAGTAGAAAACCCTGTCCCTGCTCTCAAGGAATTACTTGCACTTTAGAGGATGAGGCATGCCTAAAACATGTAGAAGGAACAATAACAGGTGATGTAAGAAAGGAGACAAGTTCGAGACTGTAGGCTGTTTGCAGACCAGTCCAGAATAGTTACAATAACATCATGAACATAAGTAAAATACAGCTAAGTGAAATAAACTGATTCTTTGCATACTTGGATGGTGTAGTTAAATGGTTAATTCATTTGTTCAAAAATGATCAGGTATCTCTCTATGTGCCGGGCATTTTTCTAGGCGATAGGGTATAGCGTCTCTAAATGCCAAATTTTGTGTCTTTGCTGACGTAAAGCAACATCCCTCTGACTTTACACCATCAAACAAGCTAAGCTCCTGCTTTGGTTTTCACTATAGACAGCTAAGTCTTAAAAGAAAAATTTTAAGTCATTTTGGCTTTCTCTTAAAGTTCTTCAGTTCCATTAAAACCTGAGTTACCAAACTTCCTGTCTGCTCGTCCCTTCCTTGGCCTT